GAGCGACCATTTCCGTATTGAGATTCTGATCATAATTCATTGCTCAAATGATTCCATCTTCTTTCAGCCAACACAATTTCAGATAATTTATTGCGCAGTCATGAGTTTCCACAACATTTTTTTTTCATATATGCTCATTTCGGGCAACTGTTGAGCAACTGGGGCTTTGAGACGACGTTCAAACGGATCTTCAATCCCCTTCGATCCCCTCTATATCCATTTATCAGTGGTCTAAAGATTTTTTCTTTCCAAATAATAGGTTCAGCTGTTTCCAAACGTAATTCGCAAAGAATATGAAAGTGATAGATCGAATCGTTTTCCGTTGGATCAAAGGTCAGCTGAACGAGACAGCTTGATAAATTCATTGCAAATAAACAATGATTATGAGGAATGATAACATTCTTTGGTTTATCATGTTGACAAATATCCCGTTCGTTTTGTCGTTCTAATGATTGCGCTAGGTTGCAATCAATTAAAGTTGCATTTTCGAGTTAAAAAAGGAACTGATATGAGTGGTACTTGCAAGAGGCATGAAAAGCGAAACAGCTGTTAGCTGCTTGATGTGAATGGTGGTCAATGATTGCTGCATGAATTTATGATTGAACATAGATTATTCTTGAATGAAATGCTCATTATTGTTGTCTTCAAACATCTCTCGTTCATAAAAGGTTTGCTGATATTTTTTTAATGAGGGTGGATAGGCGTTCCACGACGGCGTCCGCAAATTGCAAACCAGTGTATTGTTCGAGTATAAAAGGAGTGTTGCGATCATAATTATGGCGCAAATGGAAGACCAAAGGGAGCGTGCATACAAGGCGGTCGCCTATGCGGCCGTCACCTTCTCGCTTATCTCAATCTTATCCGTCTGTATAACAATGCCAATCGTTTATAGCTTTGTTGATCACGTCCAACAACAAACCAAAAAGGATTTACAATTCTGCAAAGTAATTTTCATCATTTTATCATAATCATCACCATCAATCTTTTGCCATTTGTCATTTATTTCATATCATTCATTTCGCATTATCACTCATTCAATTCAATTTATTGCAGCTTATTGCAATCTGTAACCAAACTGTATTTGCTTACCTCTGCTACATCCACCATTACTATACCAAGATTGACCTGTTGATCTGATTTTGGTCATTTGATGTTTACGAATGCTTCCATTTCGGCGATTCATTGGCCCCTCTATTGTGGCCCTTAATCGCTCGGAATAACCACCACCATTGTAAATAAACATCTGTTTTTATGGGTTCATATGCCATTATAATGACCAGTCCTTTCTGAAACAAAATCTCTTTATAAAATTAAACGGATGTAGGAGAAGCATGATTCTGGGCATGTTCGATTGAGACGATAGATAAGGGCATCAAAAAGTGACTTATAGATATCGTTTGTTGAACAGATCATTATTTGTAAGTGCAGAGAAATGAATAAAAGCCAGTAATACTAATTTTTCTTCTCCCCGTTCAAACGAATCAGTTTCAGACATCAGCAAGAGACATAATGTCC